TCTGACGCCATCAGTCTTAGAGTAGGAGGTTAGCGATCCCAATGACCGACCTCCTGAGTCCGCGACCACACGGTCAAGCCGCCGACTCTCCTTATCAGCTAGGACATTGGCCTCCCCGCTGACATGTGAGACACTAAAGTTGTCTTTGCCACAGACCTTGCAGATAGCATCAAGCTCGAGGCTAATAGCGTCGACGAGTCGGGCGACAGCTCTCTTCTCCAAGGCCTTGGACGACTGGAGGCGGAGGACCGCCTCGGGGTTACCAATCCAGGAAACCGATGAGGAGTTATCAGACACAAAGTTGACTTTGAGCCGTAGACCACGGTCTTGAGCAGTCGCTGCCGACCTTACAAAGTCCAATAGCGAAGATAACGCCCGGAGCGCCTGCAGACACACCAGAAGCTCTCTCCTATTCGAGCTGTAGAAGGTCTGCCGTGGACTAAAACGTAGAGCGTCGACCAGGACTGTCTCATCACCGCCATCAGGTAACTGCCGGCAGATCACGACACCACCGCCATAGAGAGAAGCGTCGCTAGAGACATTCAGAGTGACAGATGGCACTGTATCACCTGACGTCGGGGGCATAACGCTGGTAGTGTGTCGACAAGGTCCTCGCTCTTCTTCACAAAGCAAACGGCCCCAACGGACAAGCTCGACGTAAGTAAGGCGATCGTCCTCATCAAGGGTCGACAGGTGACAACACTCGTCCCATGATGTTGAGGAGAACCATCGACCGATGCATGCCCGCAATACGTCAGCTAGAAGGCGGCAGCAACTATGCATCCGGCAAGGATCAAACGACAGAAGTCCGGCGACACAATAGAAGGCTTTCTTCGAATGTGAATCGCACACCATGGGTTCGATGTCGAAGAATGTTGATGCCTTGGCCAGCCGGGCGGTGCGTTGGCAGTCCACTGCCAGTAGGTTTCCGTCGTGGAGAGTTGATGCTGACGCATAGTAGAAATTCAGGCCAAACACCGAGACACTATCAGATGCCACTATGTCGATAGCATACTCCTGAAGTTTCTGGTTGACAACCCGTCTCTGCTCCATGATGGCTGCGATACCGAGCTTCTTTAGCTGACTACAGAAGGCAGCACATGACAGAAGATAGATCAACCGAGCCAGGTTAGCAACCACGGGCACAGAAAGGCCAAAGCAGTGCACATCATCCAGATAATCGACGATGTAACCTGTTTTTGAGGTCTCCGATGCACGATAGCGTCTGACTGCTCGGCCCAAAGTATCAACGAGAGCCAAAGGACCCGGCGACACCCCGAAACCAACTCTGCTCACGACATAATCACCAATACCAGTACGAACCTTCAGAAACTTCAGGAAGGCGTCGTCATCATCACAGAGGCGCACTGCATAAAATGCGGCCCGTACATCACTAGCCCCTATGCATTCAGGCGATATCAATCGCAAGCTACACAGGACTTGCCATAGAGCAGCCACCTTTACAGTACAGGCTGGTAGAGCCGAATTTAGAGACCGTAGATCCAGCACCAATCTAGGTTTCTTGGGATTGACCAGGAAAACCGAAGCGAATGGTTGAGACTGGAACGACGGCGACTGTAAGAGGGCCGCGTGTGGCCGTTGCCAGAAGTTTTGCCGGAGGTACTCACTGACAGCGGAAGTATAGGCCTTCCGTAATTCGGTGGGTAGTCGCCGATACATAGCGTGAGCATAGTCGGCGGGCTTGCAACGAGGGACTTGTGGTAAAGGTAAGGCTAGCTGAGCAGTGTATCGTTGGCAGTCAACGTCGCGGAACTCGCCCTCAACGAGCCTTCGGAATCTGGTTTTGTAAGCTGAAGACCACGGACTGATATACCACCCCTCCTCGACAAGCTTATCGAGTAGAACATGCAGCTCAGATTTCACAGTATCCGGCAGGCAAACTGAGAGGGCAGAGTTGGGGCATGGTGCAGGAGCCAGAACGGAAAACCGTGACGGATCAATAGGGGAATCATCGCAGACGTGGTAAAGCGTCTCGTAGGGAGATACATCAACGATCAAGTCCACCTTATCCGACGTAGAAGAATAAACCAACCGGTTGGCGATCCACGCAGTGTCCACACCATAGAAAGTGATGCCAAGCTGGCTGATCAGATCCCTTCCGATCAGACAATATGGTACGGCATCATTGCACGAGGAAGCTAGCCTTACGAAGCGGAAACCGTGCTTCGTTGGGCAGAACCAATCGGTGCTCGAAACATCGCGGATCTCGAACTGCAGGTCCAACAACTCGGAAACCATAAGTACGCTGCCATCGGCCAGAGATACCCGAAGAGGTGAGTCAGTAGTATCGACTGCGAAGGCGAGGCTATAGTCAGCTGGGCAGATAAAATACGAGGCCGTGGCACCAGAGTCGACCACGCCCTTCATGCACAAGGATTGTTCACCTTGAGACACTCGGAGCTGCATGGCGACCTCAGCAGGACGTTGGGTCTCGGCCGCGATGGCAGCAAAATCGGTAGTGGACCACGAGGGTAGACGATCGTGAGCTTGACCAACTGTGTGTTGGGGGTAATCTACAGAGTCTCGCAAGTCGGGATGGTTCGGCGGTAAGATGAAGTTTGATGAATCTTGTCGATTCGGTAAGCCAGCAACTGAGGGACTAGGATCGCTATCACAGTCAGAACCGTCGACCACCGAAGTGAGAGTATTGTGTAGGCTATCAGAAGCAAGGAGTGTCCGGTCGCCTACTGACCGCCACTCCTGTACTCGTTTTTTGGACCCCCGTTGTTGCCGCGCTGGCGGCGTTTGTAGTCGGTATCGAACTCTTTGACAATACCAAACCGGGACTTATCGGCGAAGTGGTCTGACACGCAGGCCATAGCCGAGGACTTGTCCGGAAACGACATCAAGCAGTAGGGTTTGCCGGCTCGGGACGTGAGGAACCTCAGGTCTTTGGCCGCACTGAACCCCGTCGTCGAAGCAGTAGCCGATTTCACACCCTCGCCCATTACCAATAGGACGAAAGGCTGCGTCCTCGCCCACTCAACCGCCTCTGCATGGGCTTTCTGTGCTGCTGTCCGAACCGTGCTGTGTGGTTGCCGGTCAGAGGCATGCCACAACTTCTCTCGCACGTCCGAACTAGGTTGTTGGCCTTCATGTTTACGAGACAGACCGCCTTCCGTTGTCAGACTATTGGCACAGCAAACATCGGCTAAGAGGCTAAGGATAGTGACAGTCCCCGAGGTCCCATCGAAAGGGAGCCTCAGTTGCCAGTCAAGAGTGCGCCTCTCTGAGTACTGATGCCTGGCCGCAGAGATGACGTCCCGTGCCAGTTGTACCTTTAAGTCGCGTGGAACCGGCTTCAGCACAGAGTCGATGAAGTGGGTGTTGTCGTCGAAACACTGACACGCTCCAGTAGAAGATAGTGTGGTGCACTTGTGGTTGGCTCCCAGATGTAGAGTCCGGATGTCACGGAGCTGGTCAATGTACTGGTCGACATTTGCGGCGCCAGGAAACGTCAGTTTACCCACACGCTTTCTGACCTCCTTACGAATGGCCCCAGGACTACAGAACTTGTCCAAGAGAGTCTCACGGAGAGCTACCCAGTTGTGACCGTTGCTGTCGATGTTCCTGGCTGCCTCATTCACCAGTGTAGCGAAAGGCGACAACGTGTCGAGGAATTTCTCAATAACTGCCACCTTGATGGACTCGTGAGGAGTAAACCGACCATCCTCCCCGACCTGACCGAAGTTGGCGGCCACGAAGAGGGACTCCATCCGTCTGTAGTGGACGGACAACAGGGATACGTCCTTCAAGGTACGGGACGAGACGGATAGCTTCGATACGTCACTCAGCTGCATCGGCCTCGATCCCATCGACGAAGGGTTTGACTTCACACTAGAGGTCGCTTTCGCCAGTGCGTCGGCCAAGACAGTGACGAGTGAGTTGACCGACTCGTCGTGAATAGCAACCGGAAGACCAGGGCTCGGAGCCGGAAGAAGGGCCTGAGCCCCTACGGATGCATCCGCCAGAAGGTGATCGATCTTGGCCGTGCATGTGTTGATCAGGTCCCGGTAGTGGGAGATATCGCTCTCTAACTGGCACTCTCGTTCTTGGAGCTGTTCTTGAGCAGTGAGGTCCTCGGTTTCAAAAGCAGTGTCGAGGTCTTCACGCACTCTCAGTAGCTCTTGACGCTTCTTGGTGTGTTGGGCTCGGCATGTCCCTCGGAGCTTGGTCAACTCAGACTGCGACGAGGCGTTGTCGATGTCCACAGCTGTTACCATGTCCAATCCTATAGGGTTAGAGAAACCCAACAGAGAGGATCGAGGGAATAAAGAAGCCTTAATTAAGCTTGATCAGCCTCATCATGAGGTGACCGTTTCATCATGCGGTGTGGCGGGCGCAGTGGCCTCAAAGATACAGAAATAGTGTTGAATACTTGTAATGCGTTCGACTAGGAGAAATATATACAGTGTGCTGGGCACACTATGCATATTTTATAGATAATTTATTAGACTATAGATTTTATAGCTGCATATTATATATACTATTTTTCGACTACTGCATATCAGCGCGTTGTTCACTAGTGGTGACAGGTGAGCAGTCCGTCACATCTAGCTGCTATGTATCGTCGTATGCGGCGAGAGCTGGAGGAGCACAATCGCAAACGAGCACAGCTCCCTGAAAGCTCACATCAAGACTGGCTCGTTGGGTTAAATTATGAGGTGAGCCTCCCCCCTTTTTTTCGTGTGAAAGTGTGCTTTAGGAAAACGAGGCTGAGGACGACATCCCTTTTCCACCAGCAGTTTTTGCAATTGCCACTCCTACTGCGACATACGTGATAGATATATCTTCTTTGCATAGTGACATAATGACTGCTGCGGGTTTCCAGACGACGCTGAAATTCGTGCTGGACTGGTTGTTGAGAGAACCCAGTGTTCGTAAAGTGTGTGTAAGTCGAATGTAAATGCGATAGGGAATCACCTATGTTGTGTGTGTAGATGGTCTTCACTAATTTACTACAGCGCCTTAATACGCTCATGTACGGTTATAAAGGGGTAGTAGTAGTAATGGTAGTACTGTTGTTGGTGTAGAGGTTGAGTATCTCAGGACCCGGCAGGAACGCAAGTCGCTGTTGACGACGATGAGGAGCAGCTCGATTGGAACGATGGTGAAGAAGTTCGAGCGTTTGCGAATGATGAGTTGAGAGCATCCAACTGGGCAGCGGACAGAGACGTTGCTGAGATGCGGAAAATAAAGTGAGGGGAAGCAGTGTTAGTTATTATTATTTATATATTAGTAAATTCATGGGCTACTAGCGGTTGCTTGTGAGGTACACGAATGTAGTTGATCTGCGTCAACGGCGAATACGGAAAGTGGAGAGATGGAAGGAGAATGGAATAACGGATCCGGCTGAGGTGGCGGAGATGATGTTGAGTGAAGGAGATATATGTGAGAAAATTAACCCCGGCGGGACTTGAACCCGCAACCTTCGGCTCCGGAAACCGACGCGCTTCCATTGCGCCACGAGGTCGTTGGAAATGTGACGTGGAACA